GTTTCATACATATTGAGACGAGAATCGGGCCTACCATAATTTTGCGCTGGAAGATTGTTGTCAGTCTTGATTCGAAACGACAGACGATGCCCACAAACCTGCTGTTTATGTACATCGCCCTCGACGACAAGAATGCCTGCAGAAATGGGGTTGGTTTTGCTATAGAAGTAGCATATGGCGAGACATACCTGGGCCAACGACGCGCCCCAGACTGAATCGCGACGCTTCTGACTTCTGGTAAATGTGGGTGTTCGTGAGGATGTGATGCATCGCTTTCGTATCCGAGGTGTGCAGAGTAGTCCGACCCTAGACAACCAGTTGCTTATCAAACGGGGGTCCAGGGACGATATGGGTAGAAGGGCTCACGAAGAACCGGTGGAACCTGACAACCATTAGGACTAGCGTTGCATAGCAAAAAGAACACCTCACTTGCTCGTACGCCCATATTCCTGGAACCAGCGCTCTTCGAGGCCAGAAATTTCCTAGAGCGGAGACGTTGGATTGAACGCGAAAGAGGCGTCGAAAGATACGCACATCATCCATGAGCTCTTTCCAGTTGCCAAAGAACCAATGCTTGGAGGGCGGGCCTCGTAGATATCGGAATGGCGACGTGTACTCGCTATATAAGGCCGTCAGAACCCAGTACACCGTGTATGCGCCGGCGGTGCCGAAGACAGATGCGAGGAGCTTCAAAAACATAAGAGAGAAAACCTGAAGATGGAGGTATGTGGTCAGGAGCAACCTTGTATGTAGCTCGCCGACTGCGGCGTCACTGCGCGCGCGTAGTTACGGATCGAGCGGATGCGAGTGACACTGAGTGTCATATTGGATGACGTACTTATGCCTAGATCCGCCTTTCCGCCACGCAGTTCAATACAGTAATAGAGTTTCTTCAAGCAATGCATGCTAAAGCAGGCTGAAGCCTGCTTTAGACTTTGTCACTGGACACATAAAAAAGGACGGGCCCGCGCGGCGTGATGAGAATTTGACTCGCTCTGAACTCAGTGAACCGAAATCACAAGATATTCAAGTTTTGAGCCGTACATAACTTACTTGTCTGATTGGAATCGAAGTGATAGTCCTGTACTCATGAAATATAAATCTCCACCCGCGGGCAGCGTTCGAGCTGCAGATCATGCTGGTGCAAAACTTGGCTAGTAGTTGCAACACGGTTGCGGTATTTTTTTTTTATCAGCGGGCGGGCGCTTAATCATCGCTCGACAGGAATATGTTCGGCGTAGTTATGGTCAAGGGCACGCTATTCGGAAATTCTGAATGGATCAATGGATTGACCTATGCAGGCTCGGCGGAAGATCGATACGTCGTGGCTGCTGAATGCGAAAAGAAGGGTACCAACAGCGCATACCCGCAAAACGATACATCTGACATCAACTGCGACGAACTCTACATTGTCCGAGGCCTCGAGTTGTCCCACAGAACGCGAAGAGCGGAAGCAGGAGCGGAGTTCTTGGCATCAATGTCGTACGACCAGGGGGCGGGAGCCCGACCGCGAACACACATAGTCAGCAACTGCCCTTCTTCCGGCTTGACTATCCGCCCCTTGTATTGTTCCACTGTGCAGGAGAATGGTGTTACAATCTTGACAATGCGAAGGCAGACAACGCGGCGGCCGGCGTGCTCGGGGCTGGTAGATGACTCGAAGCGGGCGACTGCAGAACCTGAGAGATACATACGTTTTAAAATGATTAGCGGAAAAGAGAATTGGACAGCGCACCAGTCCACGGAGCGACGTCTTTGCCGTCGCGCTTCATTCTAAACAGCACAGCGACTGCAATGCTTCGCCAACAATAGTGAGAATTAAATCGCCACTGAAATGGATCTCGAACTCCTGATTGATGCGAAATAGTGTCCCCTCCGCATACATTTTGCGCCGGTTGACAGAGGCGCAAAGCTGGCGCAAAGCGCGAGTTGGTCCTCTGTGACGAGGTTCTCCGCCAGGAGGTGCTTGCGTATACGCACGTACTGCGCCGCGCATGCGACCTGGAATAAGATAATCTGCCAAACACACCCGGAGGGCAAGCGGAGGTCGTGCCCGTGAGTGAAGGACGACGGGGAGTTGTCCGACGTGATGCGGAAGCGAATGCTCCCTTCCAGCGGTGCCGCCTCCGGATCGCGGTGGTAGTACAGGAATCCAGTGGATTGAGGAGGGAACGCAGTCTGCCGATAGGGACCGTCGTTTTGATAGCGTAGTTGCCCCGTCGGAGCGCCATGCGAAGCTGGAAATCGTATGGTGAAGGTTTTCCGTCGCGATAGATCAAGGTAGTCGCGGGAGGTAAGACAAGAAGGATCCAAGGTTGAAATTAGGTGTTGCCCTCGACGCACCGGGGCCGCAGCATGGCTAGAAATGAGCAAAAAACTTGAATTGCAAGCAAAGTGATTTCGCAAAGCACAGTGATTCGCTCGCCTCGGTGTGAATGCCGTAGACAGAGAAACGGAAACCGATCCTTTTTAGCAGTTTTAACCGGACTTGCACGGCGGATGCGAAAACGTGCATGTGGTTTGAAGGAAAGTGTTTGGAGGCTGTGCTGACTCGGAGAATGTCGCGCGTACAGGCACTGCCACAGACGTTCTACTTAGTAATCTCCTGAACGCAACCTGAACGCCAATCTCTCCGCACAGAAACTAGTGAATGAGTGAGAAAGTACCACCCACACTCCACCTCAGCATACGTAGAAATGCTGCGCCAAGCGTCACAAATCCTAATTGCTACAAGTTCTGTCCATCAAGTAATTCGCTCCGTTGGCCTGGGCGCCGGCGCCCCTTCCCGTCGATCTGCATCCGCGCGGGCACCGTTCGAGCTCCAAATCGACTTGGCCCGTTGTAACACGGATCGGCGAGCGGACACTTACTTGATTATTGCTTTGGTAGGTAGATAGGTCGGTAGGTATATTCCGGCGCGGTCTCGTTAGAGAAGCCGAGACATACATGGCGTCTAATGTATGATACAGGCACTCTCAATCTTCAGCCACAACATAACCTGAGTAACCTGTAGTCCCCCCAAGGGTACGAAATAAAGAATGCCCAAGGGCGAGGAGGAACGCAACTGTGGGGAAGACTGGGAGCAGAATGCAAACTGCTGTCAAGGAATCCCCGTTAATAGTATGTTCGGCGTAGTTACGGTCAAGGGCGCGCTATTCGGAAATTCTTCCACTAGTAGTAGTCTGGTGATACCTCCATTGCTGTAGACGCTGGATTCTCACTTCCGGATATACAGCTGTGCCCGTACAGAATAGATCAACAGATTGTCTGACCTATGCCGGTGAGGGGACGGGAGCAACAAGCGGGGAATTCAGCTCAAGGGGCAGCTGAGTACACCCGTCTACCTACCATTGAAACGGTTGTAGCTGCTGAACACCAAGTGAGAAGGGGTACCAACAGCGCATACCCGAAAACCGATACATCAACTGCGACGAACTCTACATTGTCCGAGGTCCCGAGCTGTCCCACAGAGCGCGAAGAGCGGAAGCAGGAGCGGTGTCGTTGGCATCAATGTCGTACGACCAGGGGGCGGGGGCCCCACCGCGAAGACACAGAGTCAGCAACTGCCCTTCTTCCGGCTTGACTATCCGCCCCTTGTATCGTTTCACTCTGCAGGAGATTGGGGTTGAAATCTTGACAAAACGAAGGCAGACAACGCGGCGGCCGGCGTGCTCGGGGTTGGTGGATGGTTCAAAGCGGGCGAGTGCAGAACCTAAGAGATGGTTTGAAATCATTGACGAAAAAACAGAATCGGGCAGCGCACCAGACCACACAGGGATGTTTTTACCGTCGTGCTTCGCTCTAAACAGCCTCCACCGCAGTGACTGCAATGTTTCTCCAACAATGGTGAGAGATATATCGCTAGTGAAATGGACCTCGAATTCCTGGGTGAGGCGAAATAATGTCCCGTCTGCATATATTTTCCTCCGATCGATGGATGCACAAAGCCTGGCGCAAAGCGCGGTTTGGTCCTCTGTGACGAGGTTTTCTGCCAGGAGGTGCTTGCGTAGACGCACATACTGCACCGCGCATACGACCTGGAATAGGATGATCTGCCAAAGACGCCCAGAGGGCATGCGGAGGTCGTGCCCGTGAATGAAGGACGACGGGGAGTTGTCCGACGTGATGCGGAAGCGGATGCTCCCTTCCAGCGGTGCCCCGTCCGGATCGCGGTGGTAGTACAGGAATCCAGTGGATTGAGGAGGGAACGCAATTTGCCGATAGGGACCGTCGCTTTGATAGCGTAGCTGCCCTTTCTGAGTGCCATATGAAGTTGGAAATCGTATGGTGAAGAATTCTCGCCGCGACAGATCAATGTAGTCGCGGGAGGTGAGACGAGAAGGATCCAAGGTTGAAATTAGGTGTTGCGGTCGACCCACCGGGGCCCTAGCGTGACTAGAAATGAGGTTATTTTTTGGGAAAAATCCTGAATTGCAGGCAAAGCGATTTGGCAACGCACAGCGGCTCGCTTGCCTCAGTGTGAATGCCGTAGACAGAGAAACGGAAACCGATGCTCTTTGGCAGTTTTAAACGGGCTTGCACGGCGGATGCGAAAACGTGCATCACGGTGCATGTGGTTTGAAAGGAAGCGTGTATGGAGGCTGTCGCATTCTCAGCACAGCCTGGCTGTGCTGAGAATGCCGTACAAGCACTGCCACCACAAAAAAGTTGCTGCACTCGAAGCACTTCACAGGACTCAGTGATTCATTGAACGAGGATCGAGGAGAATCAATGATGTCAAGAGGGACTAAGGATTCAGCAAATGAATACTGTACATGCAACCTTGCTGAGTAATGAACTTGAACAAAGGATAAGTATGCAACTGAGTAAGCCGTAGCCGTGGCGGCATACTTTTATGTACGACTTTCCAACATACGACAGCGCCTTCGCCACTGCAGTCTGCATACAGCCGTGCGGCTGACTTGCCATAAACTACTTTGCTGGTTTATATTAGTTTTGATAGAAAGAATGGTTCAAAAAACTTACTCGCTCATGGCTAGTGCATTAAGGGGGAATCGAACCCCCGGCGGGTCGACATTCCTCCAAGTGAACTGGAATGGCAACGACCCAGGTTACCACTACCCCATTAATGCCATAAAAGTTCTTGGGGCTGCTGTGTCGGAGTGACCTTGGTTTGCAGTTCTGAAGAGAAAGAGTTCTGTACTTTTTTTAAAAAAAAATGTGTCCCTAAATTGCACATCCGATAAGACTGGGTCATAATTTCGGTGCCGGCGCGACTGCGAAAGACGCAAAGAGCGAAGAATTGGAGAAAGAACTGAGAAGGAGCGCTAGCAATGGAGAACGCGGAACCGAAGTGATGGGATCACTCGCCAAGCCTTTCCCATCTCGCGTCGGCGGTCACCAGGCCGCGCATAAGGAACGCATACGAACCCGTGAGCGCTGTTCACCATGTGCTTCCTCGCGAGCCCCGCCGTTATAAATGCCCTCCCAAACATCTGCTCCTCCGTCGGCGAGCTTCTCCCTTCCCCCACCATGCAACTCACACTCTCCGCCGTCACGGCCGCCGTCGCGCTCGCCGGGAGCGCGTTCGCGCAGTGTCCCGACTTTGCGTCGTATGCGCAGGTACGTATCGACCCGGCTTGGTTCCCTCTCCTTACAAGCAAGCGCGTTGTGTAGAAACCGCAAGGCAATCCGTCGAGTGGGCCGCTGGCGCTTCCGTACATGCGTCCCGATCCAGGTGCGTTTTGACAGTAGAATTCGGAAGCAAGAAGCTGACTGACACGCACATATGTTCGTAGCGTGCCGCACATTCAACAGCACGGCAGTCGAAGTGCGTTCTTTCCCCGGACCACGCATCATCTTCGCTTGACGCGTCCGATCTTTTTAGAAAGTCATCACGGACATGAAATCGCGTCTTAAGGATCCCGATCTCGCGCGGCTCTTCGAGAACACGTTCCCCAATACGCTTGGTCCGCCTTACTTGTTATATAGCACTCACCAATGCTAATGTGCCGGAAGACACGACTGTGAAGTATTTCAACGCGGTACGTATCTCAACCATGGCTGGAACGCGAAACTGACTTGGATTTTTTGCGCAGACGCAAAACCTTGCGTTCATCATCACTGGGGTGCGTCTGCGTCCCTTCCCTGCATTCCTCTCATATCTGTTTCTTTAAACGTCTGACGCGTGTTGCAGGATATCACGTTCGTCCTTTCGCCCTCATCGCTTTTGTTGGCTCTCTTCTGAACTAACTAAACCCTAGCGCCCAATGGCTCCGCGACACCGCCAACCAATTCGCCGCCTACATCCCGCTCCTGGCCACCGAGCCCGAATTGGCCACGCTCGTCAAGGCCGTGATCAACAATGAGGCGCGCTATGTCACCCAGTATCCTTATTGTGGGTGGCCTCGCAAATACTTCCTCCCTATCGCCTTTCTCCATTTACTGCCTCTTCTCCCTAGACGAAACTAATTTGTTTGTTTTTTTTCAAGGCGGCTCCTTCCAGCCCCCGCCCGAGTCCGGGCTCGCGCCGAGCCACAACAACTGGGCGGACGGCGTTACCGTTAACCCGTTCGTGCCCTTCCCTTTCCCCTTCTCCTTCTTCCATGCCCGTCCCTCCTTTCCCTCCGAGGAAGAGTGCTAACTCACCCATCAGCCCCGTAAACAACCAAACCGTCTTCGAGTGCAAATACGAGATCGACTCGCTCTGCGGGTTCTTGAAGCTCTCGCGGACGTATTACGGCGCCACAAAGGACAGCTCGTTCATGAATGCAAACTGTGCGTGCTCGCGTTGTGTCGACGCTCGCCTCCTTTTTTTTGATACCTCTCGCTAACGCTCCCCCTCGCCCAGGGTACTCCGCCATCACCCAAATCTTCCGTGTGATCAATGAACAATCCCAAGCCTCCTTCGACGCCAACTTCAACTGGATCTCGTACTACAACTGGACGGGCGGGAACGGCGCACTGGCACCTGCTGTCCCGAACGGAGGCAACGGCGAGCCGAAGGCGTACACGGGTACGTCTTGTCCCCATCTTTCCCTTCGCTGTTATTTTTAAATATCATATACTAATATCGGATAAAAGGCATGGTCGGGACCCACCACCGGCCCTCGGACGACATCACGACGTTCGCGTTCCTCACCCCCGCGAACGCGATGCTCTCGGTTGAGCTCTCGCACCTTGCGACTATACTCACGCAGTCTGGGCAGAGCAAGACCGCGCAGGGAAAGAACTTCACGGCGCAGGCGACGACGTGGAGTAAGCGCGTGAGTGACGCGATTTGGGCGAATACGGTGCGTTGTGTTGCGTTCACCCAAATCAAAATCATCCTACTGACGCTGCTGTGGGTGTACACAGCTGGCGAACAACATCTTCGCGTATGAGACGAACGGGTTCGGTGCGAGATATGTGATGGACGATGCGAATGTCCCGGTGCGTCCCAGGTTCTCCGCTCCTCGCGAACGACCTTAACACAACGCAACGCAGTCTCTCCTCTCCCTCCCGTACCTCGGCTTCCTCGACAAATCGCACCCCGCGTACGTCGCGACGCGCAAGGTCCTCCTCTCCAAGGGGAACCCGTATTTCTCGTCGGGCAAGGATTTCAATGGTGTTGGGTGCGTTGCGTTTTGCTCTGTGGTGTAATATGTCAACTACTGACCTGATTGCGCGAACCGTACCGTAGAGGCCCACACGTCGACGCATGGCACCCGTGGCCCATGTCGCAGATCACCGCCATCTTCGGGACGGACAACGACGCTGAGATTGTGGAGAGGCTGTATTTGATCGCGAAGGTGCACTGCCCTAGTCCGTTTTGAATTCTAGCTGATTGTTTTCTTTCTCTCTCGCGCGACACACAGAACACCGCCGGCCTCGGCCTCATCCACGAGTCGCAGTCCATCTACTCCAACACGGATTATACACGCCCGTGGTTCGCTTGGGTGTGTAGCCTTTCCCCTCCTTTCTCATCTTGACAACGATATCCGACAAATGAACTGACGCCACCGCACACAGGCAAACAGCTACTTCGCGGAGATGCTGCTCGACCTGGCGCAGCGCAAGCCCGGGCTGATCTTCAAGAACAATACGCCGTATACGCCAGGGAAGTGATTGGCGGGGCGCGATATGCATATGGATGAAGACGATGAAAGGTGGAGCGTGGTATTGATAAAAGAGCTGGGACGCGACGAAAAATAAGTACTAGAGTCCGTTTTGCCAATCATAATAAACCGATCTGGGTTGAGGACTGTAGTCTCTCAGAATAGTCTCAGAATCCATCATGGTGTTTAACTCTGACGTATTCCGTGAGGCATTAATGGGGTAGTGGTAACCTGGGTCGTTGCCATGGTCTGCTGAATATCGGACTCGACCCGCCGGGGGGTCGATTCCCCCTTAATGCATTACTCATTTCTGACGAGACATTACTCATTTCTGACGAGAGCTTTTTCTTCTGGCGTGCGAGCGAAATGAGGAACTTGGGAGCCACGATCCGAACTGCTACACACTAATTTCTGGGTGCAGAATTCCTACATCTTGAAACTATCCTACGTCGCTGGATGTTTTGCATTGCACCCAGTTGGTTAGTAAAGTTAGATTGAATGCAAGCAGGCTCTCTCCAATTGGAGTCGAAATTCCTATTTTTGATTTTTCATTGACACAGTTTATCTCGAGTCGCCTGCCGCCCGTGAAAGATTCTGGAAGCAGGCCGACTCCAATGGACCAATGGTTGGCATTTTGAGATAGTTCGTTTGGACGCATCCTTCCGAATGTCTGTACCGTCTGTCTTCTATCAGTCCAAGTACTACGCCGGCCTGCAACTCAACGCTATGAATGTATTTTGTGGTTCGATCTGCGACGTGGTTGAGTTCTGGTCGGCCGCGGCGAATTTCTGCTGTTTCCCACGTGATGCATTCGCCATTCGGGCCGGCGTCCCATGATCTCTCCCAACGATGCGATACCGGGAAAGCGTAGAGGAACTCTCCCGAAACCATGCCCGCAACCGAGGACACGCTCCTCCACAAACCCCCGGGTAACGAGCACCTCAAGCGCAAGGGCCTATTCAATACCTACCGCCGCATTCTGCTTGCGACGTTCTTGCTCTCGACAACGTTTGCCTTCGTACGTCGCCAGTTAACCTACTATTCTCACTCGATTTGCTGAGAGAGTACCTCGCTCCTGGAATGGAATAGACCGCGACGCCGCTGATATACGCGTATCGCATATTCAACTGCCAGGAATATTACGATGACCCCGCACACCCGCCTTATCAAGGCAGCGGAGACGCCTGTGCCGTTCCAGCGATAGAATCGCACACGGCAAAGGACATTGCTGTTATGATCACGCTTACAACGGTGCGCATCCCTTCCTTCCCTTTTTCTTTTCTTGATTTCCTCGAGTCGAACTTACGCCTGGATGAATCGCAGTTCAGCGGAACCCTAAACCTTATCGTCACTACATGGGAGATAAAAAACTGGGGCCTGCGCCGCGCGATCATAAACCAGACCTTCTGGCCTGCGCTGAGGAATCTGACGCAGATTTATGCGAGCGCGTCTTCAATATCATGCAACCCACCTAGTCTTAACTATATGTAAATGCAGCATTGGTAGGCGGTCGCCTCGGAATAACCATCATGCAAAGCACACAGCTCATCACAATCCTCGGGGGCGGCGCCGGATACCTCCTCTCCGTGAACTCATACATGGCGGAGGTCGTCGAGCCGGACGAGCGTACCGCCGCGTTTGGTGTGCTAGCCGGAACCGCCATGTTGGGTGTCGCGAATGGTGGGTCAGCTCCCAATTCCACTTGTATTTTTTTCCTGCGTTGTCTATCATCTCCAGCTTACTTTCCATCTCGTTTGGTTACCAGGATACATCTGCGGCGGCCTAAGCAATGACTACATCGGCCTCTCCGCCCCCTTCGAAATCACCTTCTGTCTCCTCGTTGGCTCGACACTGTTCACTGCTCTGTGTCTGCCGTACATACCACCTGGCGGGTTCCCGACGGCTGCACCGGAACAACAACAACAGTCTAAGAAAGATAATGAAGCAACTGTGTTCGCGTTCCTTCACTGCCTGCGAATATTCCTCCCAGCGAAATATGCTGATGGCAAAGGGACATTTTGGGGGCTTCCGTTGTTGGGATTTGGTGCGTTCTGGTCTGTGATGGCCACTGCATACGTCGTACGTTGGTTCTTGCATTATATTGTCTTTCCTCTCTTCCATTCAATCCAACTCACGTTTCAAATCATGTTGACTGTTCGATTCTGATTCCCTCTCGCAGCCTTTAATGCTCCAACTCACCGCGACGAATCAGTATGGATTCAAACCTGGGGACAACGGGTTTTTGTACGTGCGGTTCCATCTCCATGCAAAATTCTTATAAATACGATTTATTTACTGTGTGCGACAGAATGTCAAGCAACGCTCTCTCGCGCGCCGCGTTCCTCACGCTTGCTTTTCCTCGGCTTATTGCCTGGGGACGGAAGTGGCTGTTAGCACGGCGAACCTCTGCCGTTTCGGGGCCAACTCTCGTTGCTCTACCCCCGGCCGGAGTTCCAGTTGCGGAGCGCCAAGCTGGGCCACCCACGCTCGAGCCACATGCGGTCGCCTCAAACGAGGGCCTAACACCCGAGAGGCCTCCCACGAATTTACGCCAGACCAACAATATGCGGAGCAGCGCATTCGACCTCGAGTTCCTGCGGTATTCGTGCGTCTCTTGATCTCACTTTTTCCTAGTCGCCGTCGCTGACTCGTTCCACCATATTTTGCGCAGGATGGTCCTCGATGCCCTCCTTGTCGTCCCGCTCGTCCTACATGACAACCAGTTGCACATCTGGGCCGCGGCTATCATCCTCCCATTGGTCTCCGGGACTGCGCCGGCATGCAAGGGTGTGCTGCTCGATATGGTGCCTGCGGCGCAGAAGAGCGACGCATTGAGTGCGATTGCCCTGGTTGAGGTGTGTGTTTCAACTTCACGGGTTGTCGCAAATTTTTCACCTGAACTGCTTGGACTTCGAATGTTTCTCCTCCGACTACTCGTTCTCTTCGCCTCCTCGGGTTCCTGCTGACGCACATCTCAGACATCCGCCATGATCACAACCGTCTCACTCTACGGCGCCCTTTTCGCCTTCCTCTCCACCATCGGGCACCCGAATCTGGTATTCTTGTTCAACGCGCTGACGGCTCTTTTGTCGGCGGGGGTTCTGTTTGCGGTCAGGTTTCCGAGAGGGGCGTTGGTGGAGCGGTGAGATGGAGCGAGCTGTTAGGACACAGGAGTGCGTGTAGTTGTACACTGTGACTTGTTGGGTCTCCCAGGAGCGTGACTGCGGCTTGAAATCTCGACTCATCTACCGAAACCGAGATGCCTCAATCAATTCGCCAAGAGACAGAATGGTACATGCGATTCGCCAATGCACACGAAGACGTCCGCTTCTCCGGTTTAAATCACTGTCGAATAGTCGAGCGCCATAGGCAACGGCTGGCCCAAGACGCCCGCGAGCACATTCCGCGCCGTCAGTGCAGCCATTTCCGAGCGCGTCTCCAGCGCTGCACTCCCTATGTGCGGGAGCACAACACACCGCGGTTCCCTGACCAGCGGATGCTCAGGTCCCACCTGCGGCTCCTCCTCCACCACATCCAACCCCGCGCCCCAAATCCACCCCTCCGCCAGCGCGCGTGCGAGCGCCACAGAGTCGACGACGGACCCACGGCCGTTGTTCACGAGCACGCTCGTTGGTCGCATGAGACGCAGGAATGCCTCGTCGACGAGATGCCGCGTCGTTGGGCCGCCGGGCGCGAGCACGAATAGGACGTCACTGTCATGCGCCAGAGTGGGGAGGTCCACCGGCGCAACAGAGTCGAGGCCGTGGGAGATGCAGAGTTGCGCGTCGCGTACGGATTGCGATGCGGCGCCGGGTCGCGGGGTGTATATGCAGCGGGTAAAACCGAAGGCAGCAAGGCGCTTGAGGACGGCGTGCGCGATGCGCCCGAAGCCGAGGAAGCCGACGGTTCGAGTGGGAGAGAACGCGGTAGTGCTGAGTTGAGGGCCGCAAAAGGCGAACGGGGTCCAGTGGAAGGTGGGCCACTGGAGGAGCGTGAGCTGTATAACGTTGATAAAATGGAAGGGCGCGCACCTGATTATCCTTCACGAAGATATAGCTTTGGCCTGCGCGTCGGCTGGCCATGAGCGCAAGCATGACAGCGGAGTCTGCGACTGCGTGCGAGAGTGTTATCCCTTGGTAGGTGGACGCAATAAATGAACCCACCCGCGTCTGTGAGGATATCCGGTGTGTATCCGACTTGGATGTTATGTTCGGCCATGACCTTGAGATCGATGTGCTCTAAATACGGCGATTCGGCCGTGATAAGCTGAATATTTTGAATTAGAGAAAGAATCTACCAACCGTATCCCACTGAAATGGTGGAAACAACACGCAAATTGGGACCAGCTTGCAATGCAATGTTTTGTCAATATTCCAACAGAAATACAAGAGAACGAACCAGATTCAACAAGCTCTCGATCGACCTTCGATATGCGTCAGATGCAGCCTTGGCTCACGGAACGTCCCCCACCGCATTCTGAAAGCAGACGACGATCCCTGAGGCTCCGACGACACTTTGCAGCATCCACGTACGATCGCAGCATCGGTTTTCAGCCCATGTGACAACCTACAACTGAGACTTCAGCATTGAAGAAATCGAAAGCCAGCAAGAGTGACGAACATCGATATCGCGTCGTTCACGCAAGAGAGGCAGCGCGGGGCCCAGATCTGTGCATACGACGATTTTGGGGCGTGTGGGCGGGCTTGTAGTTGTAGAACAGGGTTGAGATGTACTGGCTAACATTCCGTAGGCACGGAGTGGCCGCAGGGACTGGGATATTCCGCGATATGTGCGCCAGACGCGAAGAGCTTGGTTCATAGAGACGTACGTAATCTGCGGCGGGCTTAATGCCGAGTCCGATCAGTCAATTCGCGTAAGTCTAATCACCTCTGACGAGCTGCAACGTGAGTGAAAACACTGAAGGTATGGCTTTCTTCTTCTTACGTCCACTATTGCGGCAAACCGTCCGATTCAGAGGGAAGTCTTTCGCTCCAGGAATCAGACTGTACAGCGCGCAGACAGGCCGCTTGAGATCTGGACCGACCGCTTTTGTGGCAGGAATCTGCGGACTCGCAGTTGGTCTCGGTGCCGCGCCATTTCTCCCTGGGACAAAGACCTCTACGGTGCCCTTCAAACCGGTGTATGGAACGGCGAAGGAGTTCAGCCAGGCTATTGAGGATCTGCGGACAATTTTTTCGACACGGTTGGGAGTGATATCCACAGATCCCGATGACTTGAAGGTCCACGGTCTGTCCACAAATACATATCATACAGGTACTGTGGAAAGTCTTTCCAATCCA